ACAACATGAGGAACCTTATTAAAGGGTCGCGGCATTAGGAAGGTTGCGAACCACTGCAGAGAATTAAGCCCTAATACCCTGAGGCGTCCATTGTATGTAGGAACTCACTTTTCTCTTCCTCATCTCAGGCTGGGCAAGGAGCCACTCAGGTAAGGTTCCAGCTCTGTGGTGTAGAACCTGCATTGGAAAAGGCTGAGCGGATTGAGCTGTAGACCCCATCCAGACTCTTCCGTCCCATCTCTAGTGAAATAAGATTTGATATAATACTGATTGTATTAACTCAACATATATCCTTCTCTAACTTTGGGCTCAGTTTGTTCTTTTTCTAGTTCCTTAAGGCATAGAAGTCGAGTTTTTATTTGCGTCTGTATTGCTGTGAACTTCCCTCCTAGAAATGTTTTGCTGCATCCCATAAGTTCTGGCCTGTTGTATTTCCATTTTCATTGGTCTCAAGAAACTTTCTCACTTCCCCTTTAATTTCTCTTTTGACCCATTGGTTGTTCAGGAGAGTGTCAATTTCCATGTGTTCATGAGTTTTCCAGTTTCCCTCTTGTTGTTAATTTCTAGTTTCATGCCATTGTGGTCAGAGAAGATACTTGGTCTGATTTCATTCTTCTTGAATTTGCTATGAATAGTTTTTTGACCTGACATATGGTCTAGCCTAGAAAGACTTCCGTGTGTCCTCAGGAATGTGCGTTCTGCTGCTGTTGGATAGCGTGTCCTGTCTATGTCCGTTAGGTCCATTTGGTCCATTTGGTCTGTAGTGCTGTTCAAATCTGCTGTCTCCTTGTTGATTCTCTTTCTCAATGACCTTCCATTGCTGAGAGTGGGGTATTAAAGTCCCCAGCTATTATCCTATCACTGTTTATTTTTTTCTTTTAGCTCTGTTAGTTATGATAGTACTTGTAAGAATAAATGTGAGGGTACTTTGTAAAGTATGAGCTGAGTTGAAGAAGGTTAGGCTGTATTATTTATGGGAGAATTGATTTGGTAGTGCAGGCTTTTTGTGAAAGTACATTTCTGATAAGTTATGATTAATGGAAGGCTTTGAAATCACTTTGTGTCAATTCATATAATTCCCTAGGGCCATCAGGAAGTCATTTGTAACTAGTTTTGAAATTTAGTAAAAAAAACCTTTCTCTACCACAGGCCTGCAAATTTCTAGGTCACATAAAAAAGTGGTACCTCTTGGAAAGTGCAATGTGGGGCTCTTAGGAGTAAATGATTGTTCCACAGACAGTCTGTGAAGGCTCACTCTATAAAATACAATGCCGTCTATTTCACTTTATCTTCACCAAACTATAAGCTCTGAGCAGGTGATATTTATGCCTACCTTGTGTATCAGGAAATTGATATGAAGAAAGTTGGGAATGACTGTTGTAGGATAGTCTGGGTCCCTACCCTTTTGTTGTTCTTCCGTAGGCTACTGTCTCTCCACAAAATAACAATTTACTTTTAAAAAATGGCTTCTTGGTTACCTTGTTCATTTATATTACTATCTCCAATTTTAAACAGATTAAACTTCCTTTTAAGAGAGGAACCAACAAAATCACTTGCCCTGGAAGTATGTCATGACTGGATTTCCCTTCATAGAATAATAATATGAAATAGTCACGCTCCTATGGTAGTAGGTTGAGTCCCCATTCGTACTTCTAGGGCAGGGGGACAGGGGAAGTAAGATAACTGTTATGCAAGATGTTAATACTTGGGGATGCTAGGAACTCTCTCTACTCTCTTTGTACCTTTTTGTACAAATCTGAAATTATTCTACAATTAAAAGTTAAAAAAAAAACCAAACTATGTTTATCTGAAGAAGTGTATACTATTGAAGAAAATAGCAAAGGTGGCCAGAACTAAAAGCAGGTGTCTGATATCCTAGGTGGCCAGAGAGAGATTGAGAAAGAGGCCCAAAGCGGGCAAGCAGAGCTGGAGACCGGCATCTCATTTCCCTCGTAGATGGTGCAGAGAAGGGGATCTCTTCTCAGAGGAGCACTGGTATCCACAGCAGGCCTGCTGGAAGCATCTAGAAAAAGCATGTGCATACACTTGGGGAGTGAAGTCATCTTATTTTCTAGTTGGTCTTTTCTTTTCTTTCACAATCTCTTATATGGCATCACAAACATTTGCAGGCTCTTCCCTGTGACCTCCCCAATTTTCTTTTTCCTTTTATATTTTATGTCCAATGTAGATAAAAAAAAATCACCTAAAAGTTGGGAACATTCTATTGCATAGAATGCCAAGAACAAGAGTGGCAGAAAGGGAAGATTTGATGGATGTGTGTGTGAGTGTATTTATCTTCTTTGAATGCTAGACAAGCAGTGCTTCTTTTTAACTGTCAGATTCTGCCATGGAAATCCATGCATGTCTTTGAGGGCTCTCGAAACACATGTGAATTGGTGACCTTCAGCAAGGCTATTAATAAGAACATCTGTTACATACATACAATTTTGTGCGCTGGGCCTCTAGTTAATAACATCTATTACATACATACTCTGGTTAGGCACTAGGCCCGGCACTTCACATGTATTATCTTATTTAATTCTGCAGGGAAGGCACTAACATTTTATCTCCATTTAAAATGAGGAAATGCAGACTTAGAAAGCGTAAGTAAGTTTCTCAAATCACATAGCAGGTAAATGGTGTGGCTGAGATGTGAACCTAAGAATTCTACCTCTTTTCTATTAAGACGTGTATTTGCATTCTTGAGAATTAAAATATTTGTGGTTATCTCATGATGAAGCATGCTACGGAGACATAAAAATTAAGAAATGTCAGTATTATTTCAAAAAAATATTAAAATTTAGGACCATGGTTGTCTAATGGTTTTCTCTGCACGTAGCACATTTATCAGTTACCAACGGGAAATTAGTCTCTTCAAAATGGAAATAATAGAAATCCGACCTCCCCCTCTTAGGAAAGCCGCCAGGACTAAGTATGGCTCCATTTCCTCTCCTTGGGGACGACTGCTAAAGGACCTGGGATACGTCCAATTCTATTTCCCAGAGATTATATTTGACTCTGACATTGGGCATTTTCTAGATGACATCCAAAGAGCTAGTGGAAAAGGATAAGTACCAAGCATTTCACCACTTCTCCTGAAATACCTGCTCCTTGCTCGGTTATCGATGTTTCAAACTGTCAGGGAGTGTCCCTACGTTTTTCCTGTTTTTGTCGTTGGCCCCGAATTCCCAGGCCCGGTTTCTCCCAGAGTGAAATGTTGACTTCTAATCGGCAACACTGCTCATGTTTTAGGGCTAATCTTGTAAATGAGGGGGTGTCCGTTTTTCTTATTGAAAACTGTATTCCTCGTTTCAAGGCAGATTGCTGGCGATGGCTTTTCCAGTCTGTGCACGAAAGTTGTCATCCTTCTGCTCTTCTGCAGGCAGTGGGCTTTCGGGGCCCCTAATCAGACTTGCTTTTAAAAATCACCTCATGGAATGATGTTTTAAAAATGAGGACAAAGGACTACTTTGTTACTGTGTGGATTTTGTATTTATCCAATGACTTCTGGATAAGTATCGCCTAACAGTGTGGGAAGACTCCTGGCTTATTAGTCTAAGTTCTGAAACATTGCGTGTTTGATTGGGGCGTTGCTGGGTGTCTGACTAGTTGGCTGGAAGCGAGTGGGACTGGAGAAGAAGCCAGGAAGGGGCAGGACTGAGAATGGGAGTCGGCAAGCGGGGGGACATGAGAAATCTCTCCTTAACTGTAGGAAGTGCAAGGACAAGGCCATGCCTACCATCTGGGGTGACAGGGACACTGGGAGTGCCCTGAGAACTTCCAGTGCATGTGTCCTTTAAAAAGGTCTTTCTCGAGCCTTTATGCCAAATAAATGTTTCCCCAGGAGCCCAGGCCAATGAATTAGAAATAAAGCCCTTTGTGTGAGTGATCACTCAGCCCAGCTGTTCTCCACACAGCACAGCAGCGGGGGGTAAACAGGGCAAAGGTCCGCGCACAGCTGTGGGCTGACGTCACCATCTGGGGCTGCGCCTGTGCACTGGGCTGTGTACTAGAGCAGCAAATCACCTGCTCCCCATCTGGCCCAGCTTCTCCCCTCCTCTCCCCTCCCATCTGTCTGTCTGTCTGTCTGTCTGTCCTCCCCCACTGGCAGTGGCGAGCTTCCACCTAGAAGCTCTTCTGCTTTATAGTTCTGATATGAGCATTTGGATGGGCTAAACTATCATTTTCTCTACCCTAAAACCATCATTTTCCTTCCATAACTCCTAAAATATATATATATATTTCTTACAAAAAGAGAGGTAAGGATTAATTTAACACATTCACCAGTCCCCATTTTCTGTTATCCCACTTATCTGTATTTACCATCAGTGAAGGAAGGCTGGAAAAGTCCAAAGTCAAATTTTCTGAGAAATGAGATCTTCCAGGCTTATATAGTGAGTGGGAGTATGTATTTGTGCGTGAGTTCTGCAATGTACTGTTGGTAATTCTGTTGGTAATTCTGGTGAAGAGTAGGATGTTCTGATTTTATGTTTATCAAATTACTTTGCCTTTTTAAAACGATTAACCTTTCAGTATATTATTATTATTATTGTCATATTACGTTATATAGCTTTTAAAATGTGTTTTTTCCTAAAGTTTGTATGCTCTGATTTGTTTTCAATATAGTCTAATATTTTGTTGTTTATTGCTGTATTTTTTAAATAAGTTGAAATCAGTTCAAATGAAGTACAAGCTAAATCCATTTGTTCTTCTCTCTGGTCTTCCCTACCCCTTCTGTGTCTTAGCTTCTCCCTACTTGGCTGCCCTCAGAGACACCTGGCCAATCAGAGCCTCCTCTCCTTATGGGCCCTGCACTGATTGGTCACCATGGAAAAGGGTGATCTTCACTGGGAACCTGGCTCTTTTTCACTGTTTAATTCTGTACTATTAGGTTTGAAATCTGGTCACCCAAGAACTGAGATATCCCAGCTGTGTGTGAATGTTATGAATTTAGGACACTGAATAAGTCAAATGTCATCTTTCTCTTTTTTCATCTCCAGTCACTGCTTCGACCACCTGTGAGAAATTAGAAAAAGCCAGGAATGAGTTGCAAGCAGCTTATGAAGGATTTGTCCAGAAGCTGAACCAGCAGCACCAGACGGATCTCACCGAGCTAGAGAATCGGCTCAAAGAGTTCTACACCGAGGAGTGTGAGAAGCTCCAGAACATTTACATCGAAGAAGCAGAGAAGTACAAAACTCAGCTGCAGGAGCAGGTCTGGGCGTTAGGGACCAGGGTGTCCTTGGCTCTTTACTTGAATTTTATTTGTTTGATGATCTACTTCCTTTATGAACTTCTCTTGGTTGAACATCCTCTTTATTTATTTAAAAATGTGAAAAGGGTGTTTTTTTTAAAAAAATATATTTTTATTGATTTAGAGAGGAAGGGAGAGGGAGAGAGAGAGAGAAACATCAATGATGAGAGAGAATCATTGATTGGCTGCCTCCTGCACGCCCCCTACTGGGGATTGAGCCCGTGACCCAGGCATGTGCCCTTGACAGGAATTGAACCTGGGACCCTTCGGTCGACAGACTGACGCTCTATCCACTGAGCCAAACCAGCTAGGGCAAAAAGGGTTTTTAAATTAATATTTTTCTTATGATGAAAGCAATGTACATGTGTTGAGCAAAAGGGAAGGAAAAAGATAAAATTAAAAACAACCCTTTATCTTATTACCTAGGAATAATCAATCCCTTTGTGACCATTCTGTTGTTGTGCTGCTAAATTTTGGGTTGAATTTCTTTATTTTTTTAAAAATGGCCCTTGTTTAATAACCCCTAATTTTCACCTATTAGTATATTAAAAGCTGCTATTTAGTTTCCTTGTTCCCTTTTTAAATCTGTTTAACATTTAGCAAATATTGAGAGTACCTACTATACGCCATGTGCTAGGGACTGAGGAGATAGAGGCCACCATGGCAGGGGTGGAGCCACTGTGTCCTGTCACCGGGACACACCCCCTCATTCCTTGTGATGGATTCGCCATGTCCGTCAGTGCGCCCTGGCGAGCTGTGTGTCTGATCCTGTGTGGGATGGAGTGAAGGCCTGGGAGTGGCAAATTCAAATGGGGTTGGTCTTGACATGCGTTAGGTAGGCCTTCAACTTGAATTCAAGTTTCTGTGTCAAGATTCCTACTGTTACTACTTACTGTTCAACTTAGGACTTCTGATTCTACTGGTAAACTGTTGTTTTGTTGTGTTTTTTCTTACAGTTTGACAACTTAAGCGCTGCCCATGAAACCTCGAAGCTGGAAATTGAAGCTAGCCACTCAGACGAAGTGGAATTACTGAAGAAGGCCTATGAAACCTCCCTTTCAGGCAAGAATGCTTGTTTTCAGTTTAAATAGAATAAGATCTAATGGAACGGCATGATAAGTTTTAAAGCGGACATGATTCATCACTTCCTCCTCCAGAGAACGCAGTTTGGGGTGTTTTGGCTTGTTTTTGCTTTGTTCATTGTTAGCAATGTTCTTTCCCCTAAGGGTGCAAATAATGATTTGTTATAAATGACAGCATTTTAGGAAGTAGGCAAGCTTTTAAAGAACTTAAAGGCCCTTTAGGAACGTCGTATTTGACCACCTTAAGTTCTGGGACATGGAGGTGTGAGTTCATATCCTGGCCATGGTACGGGGTCCATGCTGAGCACTCTTGCTCACCAGCACACCTACACACCGACACCACTGTGAAAAGGGAGATGGCTCTTGTTGAATGAAGAATCTTCATTATGTCACCACGATTGGGAGGGTTCAAGTGGAAGGAAAAGAATAAGAAGCTGTTTCTTTCAGAACATAGTTGGCCGTGTAGCCCAAGTTGTTACACTGAACTCAGTGTATCCTATAGAGCAGCGTGCAGATGGGTGGTAAGAACTGGCTGTGTGACCTTCAGCAAAGGCCTTTTTCATCAAGAAGTACAGCCAGCCGGAGTGGCTCACTGGCTGAGCATTGACCCCTGAACCTGGAGGTCACAGTTCCATTCCCAGGAAGGGCACATGCTTGGGTTGCAGTCTCGACTCCCAGTAGGGGGCGTGCAAGAGGCAGCTGATCAGTGATTCTCTCGCATCATCGATGTTTCTCTCTCTCCCCCTTCCTCTCTCTGAAGTCAATAAAAACATTTTAAAAATTTAGAAAACAGAGTAGTTGTGTGAAGTCCCAGATGATAACATGTAAAAGTGACCGGCCCCGGGGAAGACATTTAGTAAACATTGTTTTCCTTCCTTCCTCCTAGAAATGGGTTTAAGTTTAGATTTCTGTTTGGTTCATGACATGCAAATGGAGAACACAGGAGCTCCAGGGCCGGGGGCTGCAGGCCAGGGTTTGAGGCCCGTTCCCTCAGAGTCTGCTCTGTGTCCCCTACACGCTCCTGGCCCCTGTGGGCCTCAGTGATCGCAGTAATAAACGGGGACTATGTGCCTTTCTCGCCTCACAGGGCTGATCCGAGAACAGGTTAACTTATATGAAAGCATCGCACAAATATGAGGCAGCAGCCATATTGCTTTGTCACCAACTCTTAAGAATATGTGCTTAACAACTACAGAACACAGTGACCTCACAGGACATTAAAATATACCACTTCTTTCCAGAAATCAAGAAAAGCCATGAATTAGAAAAGAAATCACTTGAGGATTTGCTTTCTGAGAAGCAGGAATCCCTAGAGGTGGGTACATCTCAATACAAAAAATAATAAAATAATAGTAGTAGTTTCTGAGCTTTGGGGTGTGTGGGTTTGGGTATGTTTCTGCGCACATTCTGCTGTGTTTCTGGTGTTGGCGTGCCGACTCATGTCCACATTTCATTACTTGTGTTTTAGAAACAAATCACTGACCTGAAGAGTGAAAATGAGGCTTTAAATGAAAAGCTGAAATCTGAAGAAAAAAGACTCTCAAGAGAGAAAGCGAATTTAGTAAGTTGCGCGATCCTGCATCACTACTGAGTTCTTCTCCTTAGCCGCCTTTTCAAGTCGAGTTATGTTCAGCAGCAGAGAGACAGCAGCGTCTGGAGCCCTCTCAGCTCTTGAGCTGTGCTGTTTAAACTGTGCTGAACGGCTTCTGTGTTTAGTGGTATGTTTTTAAAACCTTAAACACTGGCATGCAGATGAAGCCCAGTAGACAGGGTGTCCTCCCCAAATGTGTACGTCGTGTTTATTAAAATACATTTCATTCTCATTTAACAGCTACTGGCTGTTAAAGGCTGTATACATTTTGGGGGGATACCCTATATATTGCAAGTGGTCTAAGCTAATACCTATAGGAAGACAAGAAAAGTATCAGTTTAGGGGCAGGCGTTTGTTTGAAGTCTTCACTTTTTTTTTTTTTAACTGACTGCTATATTGAGATATAATGTATATACCTTATAAAATGTGCAATTCGGTGGTTTTTAGTATATTCACAGAGTTGTGTGTTGGTCCCCAGTATCTAATTCCAGAACATTTGTATCAGCCCTAAAGAACCTAGTACTCATTAGCAGTCAGTCCCTCTCCCCCCCGCCCGCCCCCCCCAAAGCCCCAGGGGGTCACCGGGCTACTTGCTGTCTGTGTGGCTTTGCCTCTTCATTTAAGCGGAATCGTGCCTGTGGCCTCCTGCGTCTGGCTTCCTCCACGGAGCGTCCGTTCTCGGCGTCCGTGCCTGTTACAGCAGGTATAGGGACCTCATGCCTCCTCTTGGCCGAACGGTGTTTCATTGTATGATTGCTCCTCCCTTTTGAAAAGTACAAAACTTTTTTCTCTTGTAAGCTCAACTTGCTCTTGTAGCTTGTACCCTCACTCCCCTGCCTCACTCCTTTTTTTGGAGAAAAAAAAGTTTACCGCTTCTGTTTTGAGAACCACTGTTCATAGCCTACTGCCCTGAGGCTGGAAGCAGAGCTCAGGAAGTCCCTGGCGGGGGGTGTCTCCCACTGTCCATTTGTGTCATACGTTTTGGACAGTTCACTTGAATTTCTGTAAGTAAAGGAGTCGGGGCATCTCCCCTGGAGTTGGGCTCTAAGAAGGCGTCTCCCCTTACGTGGCGTTTATTTGATAGACTTCGGGTAGTACCTGTGCTCTCTGCCGAGTCGGTGTTGGGGTGTCACAAAATAAGATGACAGGGAGTCACGCCTGCCCTAGGACGGCCAGGCCAGCGCAGTCCCATCACACTAAAAACCCAAAAGACGTAGGACGGTACCATCATCCCTGTGGTTTTCCAGAGAGCCCTACGTATGCACCGTCTTTCTATTCCTGGGCAGGTGCTGACCTTGGTGAGAGAGAACTGTTGTTCCCTCGCCCCCCGCCCACTACCAACCCGCCCCCCTCCCCCCAAACACCAGTGGTGGGCTTGGAGACACCCCGTTTCTGGTCAGAATTCTGTTTTCTATTGTTAAGCAATAGTTTTGCTCCTACTTCCGATAAAACACTTGGTGCTGCCAGTATCTTCTCCACGTTCAGTTGCTGATAAGTGCGTGAAATGCTTGTTTTCAGATATGAAATGTTTTATGTCATCCTTATAACCGGCGACTTTGAGGTTAATGTTATCCTAACCATTGCTTTCACCTTTTTTCTTTGAAACCACGGTAAGGAGGCAGAAGCTTCCTGCCACTTTGTCTAAGTCCTGTCTAATCAGAGATGTTTATTTATTTTTTTATTAAGAATGTGGCATTGCATTTCATGACCTGCTGTGTCTTTCCCAGAAAAACCCTCAGATCATGTACCTGGAGCAGGAGCTGGAGAGCCTGAAGGCCGTGCTGGAGATCAAGAACGAGAAGCTGCACCAGCAGGACGTGAAGCTGATGAAGATGGAGAAGCTGGTACGTTTCCATCGGCGCCTCCCCCGAGGGCCTGGCGGCTGGGAAGCGGGAACCCGGCTGTGACCTCGAACCGGGGGCTGTTGTCACTACTCCTGAAGCTGTTCGGAAATACAGCACAGGCAAAAGAGGTTCCGTTTCCCTTTCTGTGCTTGCTCCAGGCTGGCCATTGCTGCCTTCGGCAACACTTCCCCCTTCCTCCCCCCAACCCAAGGAACAGGTAAAGTAGCAGGGGGTCCTTGGGAAACCCACACCTACCGAACCGGCTCCCCTCCCAGGGGTCTGTGCATCTTGCCCTGCGTGGGAGGAGTTTTCAAATCATGTCAAATCAGAACTTTGATGTTTCTCCTACTCTGGGCAGGTTTCGGGTGCCTCAGAGAGCTAGACATGGGAATTAGTCACAGGGGAGCAGTTGAATCTGGCTACTGAAGTTCTTCGTCGAGCTTCCTGTGAATTCGAATGGGCTGAAAACTGTGCTTTAGTAAAATGAACCCAGTGGGATAAATAGCATGCACTATGGAGGCTGTGAGTGGAATTTAGTTTGTGGCTCTCGGACAGAGAACTAATGTTCCGAGGCCCCCTTTTTCTGACATTCTAGTCTCGTTTTGTAGAACGTTACTTCATTTGACTGACTTGTCCGGAGCATTTTCTGGATAATATGATATGTTACGAACAATAGGATCCCACACTCAGAGCCACAAAGTAGAGTAGTCGTACGGTACAATGACAGGGACTTAGAATTAACTGTGACAGAGCCGGGATGTCATCTCCTAAGCAAGTAATACAATCTTACCTTTAGAAAGCGCTCTGGGAGGTCATCAGCTCCCCAGCATGTTAAATGTCTTCTGGGATTTTATCCTTTAACCTCCCAGCCGATCAATGTGTCTTCCTTGAAAGTGTAGCCTGGGCAGGCCAGCAAGGAGGCCAAATGTGCCTTCACCTGAACTGGAGCGGGGGGCGGGGCGGGTGGGTGGGGGGAGGCTCTCTGTGCTGGCGTTTCTCTCACTGGACGCTCGTTTTGTAAATTGCTGCTTTGTGGGGCCACTGAGAGGTAAATGGATGCTGAAGAAGAAACCGTGTTTAAGGCCACATCAAACATCACCCAGAGCGGTGACCTGCTGCTGGCCTTAGAGTTTTCATCAAACGTGGGAACGTATTTTTTGCAAGACGGACCAGAAGAAGGGCTGGTGCCCTTGATAAATGCAGGCCTATGTCCGGCTGCTGCTTTTGTTTTACCACCTTGAACCCAAGAGGCACGGCCCCATGGTTGCCCAGGTCAGGACCCCAGTTCTCGGAGGGGTTGGGAGGAACCTCTAAAACGGCATGACACAGACTAACTCAGTCACCTCCTTGTGTTCGTTGTTCAAGTGGTTCTTGAAATCTGACAACGCATTAAAACAACAACAACAACAACAAAACCCCCTAGATCAAGCATGTCAAACTCGGGGCCGGTGGGCCGCGTGCCTCATTTATAACTCCCGCCAGCCGGGAGTTTGACATGCTTGACCTAGATGCTCTGCTCTGCTGCTGCAGATTCTGCTTTTTAATGTGTCGGTGGATAGGCATTTCACTGTACAATTAAACTTGCCTCAATTGGATCTCTCCAGCGTGTGCTGGTGCCAGGAACGTGCCGTAGGAAACGAGGGCTCTGTCTCCCTGTTTTTGATGTCTAACCGTTGGCATGCTTGTTCGCCCCCAGGAGGACAACAACACAGCGCTGGTCGACAAGCTGAAGCGATGTCAGCAGGAGAACGAGGAGTTAAAAGCTCGGATAGACAAACACATTGCGATTTCAAGGTAAAGAGAAAACAGTCCAATTTTTCCCATCTCCTCCTCCTCCGTTTAGTGTCAGTGGACCTCACACCCGCCCAGGCGCCTCCTGGGAGCGGGATTGCAGAGGGTGGTAGAGCAGGTGCTGGTTTCTCCCTGGGAAGCATGATGGTGGCACTTCATGGCCTGACTGTTGGGGCCTGGGCTGGGCACTGAGCCCTAAGCAGGCCAGCCCTCCCCCAGAGCCCCTGGCTTAGTGGCGCTGAGATGCCTTCAGAGAAAGAGCATCACAGGACCCAATGGGGGGAACCGCCCCACACAGGTCACGTGACATTCGGATGCTCTGTGGGAGCGTCACGGAGCCTCCTGTGACATTGGCCCCAAAGAGCAGCTTTCTCTTTGGCTCCCACTTCCTGGGTTTCTTAGGCAGCCAATACCCATGCCCAGTAGCCCTAGGCAGGACTGCCTTTTATTATTTCAAAGGGATCATTTTTCTGGACTCTCAAACTCAAAAAGGCAAGAACATTTTTTTTCAAGTACATTTTTTAGAAATTCAGATCCATGCCTGGCTGGGTGTGGCTCAGTGGTCATGGTTCGAGTCCTGGTCAGGGCACATGCCTGGGTTGCCAGCTGATCCCCTGTAGGGGGCGTGCAGGAGGCAGCTGATCAATGACTCTCATCACTGATGTTTCTCTCTCTCCCCCTTCCTCTCTGAAATCAATAAAAATAAAGACCCACGTGGTTTCTGGCTTTTTTGTCTTTAAGGCAACTGTCCAACGAGCAGGCCACCCTGCAGGAGTGGCTGGAGAAGGAGTCGAAAGTCAACAAGCGCCTGTCCATGGAGAACGAGGAGCTGCTTTGGAAGCTGCACAACGGGGACCTGTGCGGCTCCGACAGGTCCCCCACGTCCCCCCCCATCCCCTTCCAGTCGCCGCGCAATTCCGGCTCCTTCCCCAGCCCCAGCGTGTCGCCCAGATGACGCTTCTGCCCGCGGGAGACTGTCTGAGAGCACCGTCACAGGTCCGCAGGGCTGACCCTCACCGTGGTCCAGGGATCAAGAGCCACGTGGGCCGACGTGTCGTTACCGCCCTAGAACTGGAAAGTCTTGACCCCCTGCATCGGCTCCTTGGGAGACCGGAGCTCAGGAGGAACACGTGGCTCTCTGGCCGAGGGACTCCTCCCCAAAGGATTTCGGAATCGATCTGCACGGACATTTGCACAAAGCACTTAAAGAACATTGCCTTTTCCACGTAAGCATAAGGGGAAAAACTCTCAGGGGCCTCTTAAGATAAAGATTTATAACCTTTATAATGTTCTTTGCCACAGGCACCTTCTTGTGATTTTTATTTGGGGGACGTGTGAATAAAAGGGATGTAGCGAGTGTCCTGTGTCTGATGCTGCCTCCTTTGCTGTGTACTGCAAGTCAAAAGCTGCGTATTTCTGGGTCTGTACTAATCAGCTAAGTCAGTGTATGCATCTCTGCAAAAAGCCATAGAAGGAAGAGCAATCGTTGCTTGAATGATGACGCTGTCTGCCGCCCACTCCGCTCCGCCCTTTGACACAGGGCGGGGTGGGGAGTGACAGGAAGCGTTCCGACTGGTCCACATCTGTGCAGTGTCTGCATCCTTTGGAAGTTTCTTGGCATTCTTTCAGTGTTCAGCCATGTCGGTCAAAACTAACAAGTTTGTGTGTGTTTTTTTCTGTAGACTTTTAACGTTCCCATGTGAACCTAACATTTTACTACGATCCATTTTCTCAGGCTACGAGCAAATGTGAAACCCAAATTTTTCTAAAATTCTGTAAAAAGGAAAGGGGCGGCAGCAGTGGATTGCTCCCGCCTTACGTTTACCGTGACCTAAGCTGTCCTCACTGATGTCAACTATTGTCTTCTCCCCTGATCCTCGCCTCCTCCCTTTCCTTCCTTCCCCCAGCCAGAGCCCCAAAGGCAACCCTCCTACCTCCTTCCTATTGTTCTCTGGGACAAGGATAGTGGCATATGCTTTTCCAGAGCCAGCTCATCCTCAAGGTGCTCACACCACGCTCCAAATAAGCCACAGCCTGGACCTGAGAGTACAAGTTTTGGGAAACCCTAGAAGGAATATAGAACGAGAGAGTCATTGGCTCGTGTTTATCAATGAACAGGAGTACCTTGATGAACCCAACGATGCAGCATTTCATAGAAGATAACGCCAAGTTCCCATGTACCCTTTGAGGAACCCTTCTGTCTTTGGGGAGGTAGAAAGGCCAGCTTCCGAGTAGAAAATGTGGCTTTTCCTACTCGTAGGCCTCTCCTCCAGGTTGCATTTCAGTTTCTCTTCCAAATTTCACTTATTACCTCCCCCAGTTCTCACACTTTGGGGGAGGTGGGAGGAAGCACTGTGGCTTCCCCCGCCCCGCCGCCTACCGCTGCATGTGTCAACATGGTGATGTCAGTACTTACTAATCTGCATTGCTGACGTTTGATGGCTGTACAGATAGCCCCATAAGAACAGGTTCAGGATACTAGAGGGGGGTCTTTGAGTCATCACTACATGTACATTACATAGCAAATTAGTATTCATGATGCACGGTGTTTTCTATTTAATTATTAGTGATTGTGTCTGAAGTCTAGGCTTCACTAGTGTATTGTGGATGTTACCTTCCGTGTGCGCTTCTGATAAACGGGAATAGGCCCGCTGCCACCTTCCGAGATCTCTCTCTGCTTACCCTTTCCAGCTGTGCTCAGTGTCATTAGCCGAAGTTGGATTTGCCACCCGTGCCCGCGCATGGTAAATCTCGTGCTGATCCCTGCTCTCCCCCATACCCTTTAGGTGTCTGGGGAAATCAATCTTACACAGTTAGTATAAAGTGTCTTCAGAGACAACTGGAGGGAAGGTAAGAGACAACATGGAGAACTTGAAGATTGTTTTCAAACCAAATGTTTCATGTAGGATGTACAATGTCCGCACGTCATACCGTATACGGATGTGTAAAAACTGTAATTGTGCTCAGTTTGTAATGATGCAAAGTGTATTTTTACCTTGATTAAATAAACAATGCTGGAATATTTAATATAAGAAGTGCAACCTGTGACATACTTCACTCTCCCAGGGGCTACCCAGCTTACAGCCCTTCTCACAGCCCAGGCGTTGACACTGTGCCTCCTCCTCAGCCATTTCCCAGGAATTTCCAACGCAACCACAAAACAGGCCATGGGCTGAAATTTGGCTCACAGAGCTAAGCTTAGAATGAAGCTTCTCTTTTCTAAATTCAAAGCCATGTGTTTTGGAGGAATAACTTTTGACTGGTTTTTAACAATTTCCGCTCTTTAAGGTAAGAAAACTATGGTCTAAATATTTTTTTTGCAGATGCTACAAAAGGTCTAAATGAAGTTGAATTTTCCTTGATCTGCATACCTATTTTATATTGAAAATTAAGCTTTTAAACACACATGCTGTAAACCTTTCTGAATGTACTAATCTAGAACTAGTTACTTCTGAGTGCAGCCTTTTTTTTTTTTAATAAAAAGCAAGTTTCTATGATTTTTTTGGATACTTTCATATCATGGTTCATATATAGTTACTACATTTTTAGATGCTCATGTATTGCGATTAAAATCAAATGGAAATTAAGGTTAACCCAAACATCACTATCAACGAGTCCTTCTGCCAACCTAAAACACAAGCACTTAGGCCAGTTTTAAATTTATTTTACAAAAACTTGATCATTTAATAGAGATGATTATATAAAGTTGTTCACATATATGCTCTCTAAGTATAAAAACCAGAAGCGCATATACGTAGGTAAGCAATCAGAAGACATGCTTTCTGTCCCAGGAGTTAACACGTCTATTCTTAGACCGGGCGACTTCCTGTGTGTTTGGATGTCTGGGTCTTACTCACGAGGCGGGGACTGGGGTTTGGCGCTGGACATCAGCCTCTGGCAAAGCACGAGTCACAGGACGCCCGAGCTGGTGGTGTGCGCACGTGGACCTCCCGTCAGTCCGTTGCACTTCGTTTTCCAAGTCAGGAAAACTCAACAGTGGTAGCGACTGTGGTCTGTCCTTGGAGATTCTGGGCCGTGCAAATGTAATATCCCGCGTCAATGGTCTCAAAGTCTTCCACCGTCAGGACGCTCTGGGAGAGCCTGGTGGTGTGGCCCAGGCCCCTGTGGACCAGCCTCCAGGTGTCCTGGATCGTCACGGGCCTTTCATCCTGTGTAACGACACCCGCAGGGATGAAGCAAGGAGGACACACGGCTACAAACAGGCCCCAGCCACTCAACACAGAGCCATGCTCAGAAAACACCGGTCTGCGAGGCCCATGGGTGCTTCCGCACTGTGTAACCCTTTTCAGCGGCATGTTTTCCAAAGCACAGTCTGGGATGTCATTACGCTGTTCGACTCTCTCTGCCCTTTTCTTTAGTAAATTTTTAAAAAATACATTGCATTTATTTCAGAAAGGAGGGGAAAAAGGGAGAGAGACGTAGAAACATCAATGATGAGAGAGACTCACTGATCAGTTGCCTCCTGCACACCCCATTCTGGGGATCGAGCCCACAACCAGGGCATGTGCCCTGACCGGGAATCGAACCATGACTTCCTGTTTCATAGATGGACACTAAACCATGCCAGCTGGGCTCTTTAGTAAATTTCTACTGAATATAAGATTGATTCTTTTGGAATTCCAAGGAGGTACACCTGGTATTACTCAAAAAGACGTAGATAAAATTTTCCACACTTCTCTACATTGCCCACGTTCACCCTCTCACTCACTGGTTCTTATTTACAGAATTTCTGGTCACAAAGAGCCCAGAGCACGCCCCATGCAAGTGAATAAAAGCTCCCAATTGTTCAGATTTGGAAGAAAGAGAAGGATGATAAGTCAAATGTGGGAGAAAAGTTCTTCCAGGGATGGATAATGTGACGCCCTAAATGACGTAACTCCCTATTCCAGAAAGTCAGGCGGTCACCTTTGAGAGGCTTCATCCAAATCCAGTGATAAGAACGTAGTATTTTCTGGATTAGCTTAACAACTGTAATACAGTGTAACTCCGTTAATCCCCCTTCTGCTCATAAAATAATAATTAGCAATGCAAAAGAAATCTCTATTGAAAACCATTCATGTTTTCTAATTGTGACAACTGTGTAAAAGCAAGTAAGGTACCAGAGGCCGGAAAATACCATTCTCCAGGGAGAGTTATTTTCCACCAATCACAGCCCATAGAGCCAGAAGGGTATTGGCTACTGAGTACATCGCAAGAGGCCAAATCTCTTCTGGCAACAAAGGGATCGTTCCATGTTGGTAGCAGAGCTGTTTCTATTAGTGAACAGAGCACGCACAGAGGCTAAATAATAAGCTGGAGTTGCTTTTATGGGAAATCTATTTTAAAAAGATCTCTGGCCTCACGGCACCTTTTGGATGGGGCCTGTCCGCTCAGAGCTCCTCGCCATGGGCACAGCTTGTGTGCCAGACAGAAAGGCACCAGAAGGAAGTTAGATTGGCCTCTAATGGACTCAGAATTCATACTGAAGGTTGAGGTTGGGGTGGAGAAAGAGGGAGGCCCCTCCTGTCCCTTTCAAGCCCCTGTTCCTTCTTATTTAAGGATTATGAAGATCAGCCCAGCTGGCGTGGCTTGGTGGTTGAGCATCAACCTATGAACCAGGAGGTCACGGTTCAATTCCTGGCCAGATTGAATGGGCTCGATCCCCCATGTGGGTTGTGCAGGAGGCAGCCAATCAATGATTCTCATCATTGATGTTTCTCTCTCTCTTTCCCTCTCCGCAAAAATTGATAAAAAAAAATATTTAAAAAGAATTATGAAGATAAATCACATATGAAGAGGGTACACTGAGTGAATTGCCTGATGGAACCCAGTCACCTTTTCTATTAAAAAAAGCCATTTGTAAATATACTGAAACATCTTAGAACAGTGGTCGCCAATCGGTGGTCCGTGGACCACGGGTGGTCCGTGAGGTCCGAAAGGTTGGCGACCGCTGTCTCAGAGGACAACCAGCAAGCCCTGGCACCTCCCTTAGTCCCACACATTTCTTGCACCTCGTACGTTAAGGTCTTTATCAGTGGCAAGTGGGGGAGAGAGAGACAAACCTAAACTTGAACAACTGGCTGAGTGAGGGTAAGGTCTTACCTTCTGGCCAGGGTAGATCCACCTGAACTCCACCTCGACGTCAGGCTCCCCGAGGACAGTGCAGAGGACACTGACGTCATCCCCGCTGTTCACTCTGTTTGAAGATGCCAGGATGGTTGTGGATGGAGGGCCGCTGGGAACTGGCATTAAGCAGGAGACAGGGAAAGTGAGATGGAATTCATGAGTGCAACACTGAAGACAAACCTACAGGCACACTCTTTTCTTTGGACGGATGGGTCACATTTCCGCCTCACCCAAAGAGCACCAGGCCACCTCCACCCCACCACTTTCGGATTCTTCGAAGCCTCCTCTTTCTCTACCTTGGTGGTCCGAATGGGGTCAGCACCCAGAACTCCCCAGGCCCACCCATTTCCCTTGTGATTAGGGGAGGAGGCTAACCCGCCAGGGGTTCATCTGAAGGTCATGGTCACAGACAAGGAAGCACTAGTAGAACATTCTAGAAAGAGTGGTGCAATAAAGGAGCCATTAAGAACAGCATTCTGTGCCTCCTAATTTCCATCCACACTCAGGAACAGCAGTGCCTGCTACTGACCAGCTGGAAGCCACTGAAATCTAGGCACTGGTAGGAAACACCCTTACCTTCTGCGTAGAGGAGTTGATACTTGACAGAGATCTGGGACTTGCCCCCGGCCTCCGCCTTGCAGTAGACCACCCCCTGATGGTCAGAATGAGGTTGCAGGTATACAAAGCCTCTCTTCATGTCATAAACAATGTCTGTTCCATTGGCCGGGATTTCCTTGGCCGGGAACTCCCTGTGGAGCGTGACTTTGGCTGACAGGACAGTCACTCGACAAGGAACCACAGCCTGTCTGTCCGGGTTCAGGTAGACAACATCAAAGTAACTGGGAGAAGGTACAAAGAGTTCTCCTTTCTCTGCAAAGCAAAAGGCACAGGCTTACTTGTTCTGGAGGAACAAGGTAAAGAACACATTATGGATTTGCGACCCCAGGGCACAAAAATGAGAGGAGACTGACAATATACTCAGAATACTGAGTCCTTATGAGTAGAAAAGCTATTTTTAAATAATTTTCCCCTTTCTGAAGAAGGATGCTATTATTTCCCATCTCCTTAAGGGAAATAAAATAGGTCTTAGTTCAAGCCCAACTCAGGCCCGTGGGTTACTCCCTGAGGAAGCAGGGGAGGAGACTGACGTCCATACGACCAGAGCAGCCTTAAGACCTGGAAACAATCCACTGTGTCTCTGGAGAAATTAGCCGCATGACCTGCTCAGGAAGTGCTGTTGGAGGCGGATCCCAGCACAGCAGAGCTCCCCCGAGAATCCAGCCCAGTGCACCTCATTCCTGCCAAGGCCCACGGAGAGGGAATGGAGAAGAGACAGATGAGGAACCTGCTACCGCTAACCTCAGGTTCTGAGCTCAGCTTGGCTGCCTCAGGGCTGGGGACCTCCAGCCAGTTTCTTATACCCCTGTTCCCTCTGAAGTTTTAAGCACAAAAAAATGGCATTTTTTATCTTACAGAATTGAGAAGAAAATGCCATTTTTATCTTATAGAAATGAGGAGAAAATGGCATTTTTCTTACAGAAATGAGGACTGGTATGCCCGCCTTTCCTTAGTACAGAGGAATCCGAGTTGAGGTTTATTTTTTGTTTGTTTTCGGCATGGCACATTAAATCTTTTGCTTTCTATACTATGAGAGGATATTATCATAATTAAGAGAAGTCATTTAACTTAATTACACCCCAACACTTGTTCAATTGTTTCCCATGTTTTTCCTGCAATGCTCCTGAAACAACCAATTATTCTTGGCTCTCTCCTCCACTACCCTTCTCTGTGCGACAGTCCATGTGATGTGTTAGGTCAGGGACAGAATTTCTGGATATATCATCACATGTCTTCATGAGCCAAGACTTCTTTGCAATGGGTGCAACTTAACTAACATGGAGGTCCT